TTTATTCTGTATCCTCTTACAATAGATCTATGCGTGGAAGCAAGTCGGTATTTCAATAAGGCCTGGGACAGAGGAAATACCAGATCAATAGTAGGCATGATCAGTTTAGAAAAGAGAAGGCCAACATATCATTACTGCAGGCTGGGATGACATGGAAGTGGGAAGAAATAAGGCTGAGGCAGGTGTAGGTAGACTCCAAACTGTGACACCTCCTATTATCATACTAACGAAGGAATTATGTGGGGAAAAAAAAGCACTAACGCTGAAGAGCCTCCTCAAGTAGTTTAAGGAAGACCCCCTGTCGAGGTCTACATGTTGGAAGGTTGATGGAACAAAGGGAAAAAAACAGGAAGCTGTTCCTGTTGTTCTGGTGACAAGCCTGCATGAAGTCAGTGTCAGAGGGCATTTCCTGATAAGATTACTTTATTTGATTTAAAAAAATAGCTCTAGGAATGTAAAGGTTGACAGGCAGACACAGTCCGCTGGCGTCCCTGGGGAACAAGAAAAAGATGGACAACAGCTGTCAAAATAAATCTCCAGTTTCAAAAGCAAAGTGAAACCAGAAACTTCACAAAGCAAAACAGGAAAATCCACTGTCCATCCCAAGGGAATTGGTGTGGTCTGACAGCTCTCTTCTCCCAGTGAAAGGGACAGCAACAACAGATTGCATGGCTTAAGCCAGAAAGCCTCAGAAAATCTGTACAGTACTTTGAGCAACAGACATTTTAACAACCAGAAAAGAGGGGGAGAGAGCCCAAAAGTTAAACCTAGCCACAGCATAGACAGAGTGCAGGGAAGGGCAAGGAACATCTGAAAGATGCCTTTAAAAAAAGAAAAAAGAAGAAGAAGAAGCCAGCCGAGTCAGCAGATTCAACCCTTATCTACTCCCTGAACTCCACACTCTGAGAACCTAGGGCAAATGTTAAGGGACAATATGCTCACCCATAACCAGCAGAATACTTCTAGACCATGATGAGAAACCTTAAGTCACAATCTTTCAGTATTCAGAAAGGTGGAAATCTAGTCGGAGTCTGCAGAGGAACACAGTCACAGGTTTCAAACCTAAGTGCTAGATGCAGAGAAGACTCACCAAACAACATGACCACATCCAAAACCTGGTCCCCCCACAATGGGAGTAATACTGTCCAGGGATGACTGGCATCTGGGAGTCCAGGAAGGAGCACTAAAAGTTGAGACTGGAACCAGTAAGCAGGCAAAAGAGGAAGACAGACTCTCCCCTCCATTCTGTTCTCTCTTTCTCTCTCTCTCTCTCTCTCTCTCTCTCTCTCTCGGAATTCATTAATTCTTTAAAGCCCATTATCAAAAAGGCGGGCAAACTTTATCCTGGTCTATCATTGTTCTTCCTCTTTTTAATTTTTTCTTACATTTCCTTTATTGTTTCCATTTCCTTTTGATAGCATTTCCTTTTCAAAAATCATGCTTGACTGGTTTGGGGTAGTCTGTGTGTACTGGACTCTGAGAACTGAGATTGTTTAAGGTCATCAGATTGTATTGTTTTATTTCTCTCAATTGTTCTGTCCTTAACCAGAGCTACCTCATCTACCATCCTGGTAGACATTAAAACATTGTCCCCTCTTCTATTTACATGGACTTTACTTTGCCTTTTATTATCACAATATTAGATACTAGTCTTAATTTATCTTTTTACATTTCCATTAATTTCCTTAGAAACCAATATCTTAATGGAGATGATACTTCCTTTACTTCAAAAAGATTGATTATAATTGAGAGAGAATATTGTCTAATAAATTATTGTTATTTTTTCAGGGTGATTGTGTATCGTTTCAATGGCATTTGTGTATGCAGGATATTGTAGGGATTCCCAAAGCATGTGGGCTGAAGGTTTGACTACCAACAAAGACCCAGTCCAGCACAGAGATATGAGACCTCAATACAGTTAAAACTTAGGCCCTCTTGACTTGGAAAAAAGATGATTAAAAAGCAATCCAACATGGTGGGTGTACAGGGTGATTTTGTGTGTCAACTTGACACAAGTTAGAGTCATCAGAGGAAAGAACCTCAGTTGAGGAATTACCTCAATGAGATCTAGCTAGAAGGTATTTTCTCATTTAGTGATCAATGGGTGAGAACCCAGCCCATGATTGGAAGTGCCATTCCTGGGATGCTGGTTCTAGGTTCTGTAAGAAAGAAGAATGAGCATACCAGTAAGCAGCATCCCTCCATGGCCTCTGCATCAGCTCCTGCCTTCAGGATCCTGCCCTGTTTGAATTCCTGTCTTGACTTCCTTCAGAGATGAACAGCAGTGTGTAAGTATAAGTCAAAGAGAACCTTTGTTCCCCATTTTGCCTTGGTCATGGTGTTTTGTCACAGCAATAGAAACCTTAACTAAGGCAACAGGCATGGGAAAAAACACAAGTGAACCAACAACCTAACTTCTGATGCTCACATCCCAGTGCAAATGCATAAGAAACACAAAAGGCCAAGACAATAGGACTTCTCCAAAAATTACTAGTCTCCACTTTCTGACTGGATTTAAGCTCTTCTTCATGAACCACTTCCTAAATAAATATAACACCAGTAGTACAGACACTGAGAGCAACAATAAATAAATGGGACTTTCTGAAACTGAGAAGCTTCTGTAAAGCAAAGGACAGAGTCAATACAACAAACGACAGCATACTAAATGGGAAAATATCTTCACAACCCCACATCAGACAGAGGACTGATCTCCAAAATATATAAAGATCTCAAGAAATTAGACATCAAAATGCCAAATAATTCAATTAAAAATGAGATGCAAAACGAAATGTAGAACACAAAACAGAAGAATCTCAAATGACTGAAAGACACTTAAGAAAATGTTCAATATCCTTAGCCATCAGGGAATGCAAATCAAAACAACTCAGAGATACCATCTTACAGCTGTCAGAATGGCTGAGATCAAAAACACCAATGATAGCTTATGCTGGAGAGGATGTGGAGTAAGGGGAACACTCATCCATTGTTGGTGGGAATACAAAATTATACAACCACTTTGGAAATCAGTATGGCAGTTTCTCAGAAAATTGGGAATCAACCTATCTCAGGACACAAGAATATCACTCTTGGGCATATAACCAAAAGATGTTAAAGGACATTTGTTCATCTATGTTCATAGTAGCATTATTTGTAATAGACAGAATCTGGAAACAACCTAGATGCCTCTCAACCAAATAAAGGATAAATAAATGTGGCACATTTACACATTGGAGTACTACTCAGCAGAAAAAATAAACAATGGCATCTTGAAATTTGAATGCACATGGATGGAACTAGAAGAAAACATTTTGAGTGAGAGAACTCAGATCCAGAAACATGAACATGGTATGCACTCACTCATATCTGGATACTAGCTATAAAGCAAAGGATATTGAGCCTATAGTTCATGATCCTAGAGAAACTGAGTAACAAGGTGGACCCTAAGAAAAACATACAAAGACCCACCTCGAAAGGGGAAATAGACAAGATCGCCTGACAAAATTGGGAGCATGGAGGTGAGGGGAGGATGGAAGGTGGAAGGAAAAGAGGAAAGAAGAAGGGGGGGAACTTGAGGAAATAAGATAATCGAGAGAAAGGTAGGACAGAGATGAAAGCAAGGAAAGAGGTTTTTGATTGAGGGAGTCATTATGGGGATAGCAAGAAACCTGGCACTAAAGAAATTCCCAAGAATTCACAAGGATGACCCCAGCTAAGACTCTAAGCAATAGAGGAAATGGTGCTTGGACTGGCCTTGCCTTATAGTCAGAATGATGAATGTCTTAAATGTCACAATAGAACCTTCATCCAGCAACTGATGGAAACAGAGGCAGAGACCCACAGCAGAGCACTGGACTAGGCTCCCAAAGTGGGAGAAGTGAAAATATGAACAAAGAGGTCAAGACCACGATGGGGACACCCACTGAAACAGTTTACCTGAACTAATGGGAGCTCACCAACTCCAGCTAGACAGGGAAGGAACCAGCATAGGAACAAACTAGTCCCTCTAAATGTGGGTGGCAGTTGTATGGCGAAGACAAACTTCAGGACCACTGGCATTGACACCAGGATTTATCCCTATTGCTTACACTGGTCTTTTGGGAACCTATTCTCTTTGGATGAATACCTTGCTCAGTCTAGATATGGTAGGGAGGACCTTGGACCTTCTCCAAAGTAATGTACCTTACCCTCGCTGAGGAGTAGACAGGGGTGTGTGTGAGAGGGTAGGTGGAGGGGATGGAAGAAGGGGAGGGAGTAGGAACTGGGATTGGTATGTAAAATTTAAACAGATAATCTGTTTTCTTTCTTAAAAAATAAAAATTATAGAAAAGAGGAAACAAAAAGATCTTCTCCATGGAAGAAAATGTTTATCTGGTATTAAAAATCTAGTCAAGAACCCATGGATAAGCTGGGCAGTAGTGACGCATGCCTTTAATCCCAGCACTTGGGAGGCAGAGACAGGTGAATCTCTGTGAGTTTGAGGCCAGCCTGGTCTACAGAGCTAGTTCCAGGACAGGCACCAAAGCTACAGAGAAACCCTGTCTCAAAGAAAAACAAAACAAAACAAACAAACAAACAAAAAAACATGTGTAAGGGAATTCAAAGGCCTGGAGGAAAACTATTATTTTAATAACAGACATTTTAACTGTCTTCTAAATATGTATCTCTGCTAGTGCGGTTCTCAGTCCTCATCAGAGAAGCTTCCATTACAGTGGATAATGATGAATACAGAGATTCACACCGGGCCAAAGAGTAGAGAATGCATGTCTGTGAAGTGTTCAATTGTGAATGGGATCTCTATCACAACCCCTTCTCCCAAAGCTCTGGAAACCTTGTGGAAGAGCAGCAGATGGACTTTAAGAGACAGAATGTAAGAAACTTATGAGAAATAGTCTCCTGGAAATGTCAGACTTGCTGCACTCATGACTTCACAGAAGACTTGGCTGTTTGTACAAGACCAATAGAATATCAAGCCAGTCAACATTCCAGCGTGGGTGTGAGAGGTCCATAGGCCTCAGTCCCAGCTGAGGAACTCACAGTTGATGGCTGTTAGGGGAAGACAATCCAGCTTTCTTCAGGGGGTGGTGCCTGGTGAGTTGATCATACCCCAGTGAATGGCCCCATATCCACGAGAGAAGTCAGCACAATTTGGACTCAGTGGTTGGGAAGGAGCATGAAAGTGGGAGGGATATATTGAGAAAGGGTTTAGAACATGGAGTAGCAGAAGGTGAATATGATCAAAATTCATTGTAGTCATATAAAATTCTCAAAGAATAACTTAAAATGTAGTTTCAAATATATAAATAAATTACTAACTTTACAGAAATAGCTATCAATGAATCAGTAATTCATTGATAGAATTCACTGATAGAGAATTAATCAGTAAAATTCAAAAGTATGTCCGTGAACTGTGTTCAAAGAAATCAAAGAGAACAGACACTTCTGAATGGATTCAAAGAGAACAAACACACTGAATGACATAAAGATGTCACTATAAGATACTGAGCATAGAATTTGATAATGAGGTAGAAAACCAGAATGGTAAAAATCAAAAGGTCAATAAATCAAATCAAATATAAGGTTCTGTGTAAAGTACCAAGAGGAGGAAAGAAGTCAGGGCTTGAAGACAGGATAATGAGTTGGAACATTCAGACAATGGCATAGACATTGATATGAAAGTATGAATGGAGCATAAGACACTTCTGAGACAAAACAAAAATACAAAATCTGCAAATTATGGGCATAGAAGAAAGAGAAGCACTCAGACTGAAGTCACAGAAAACATGCTCAGTAAAATCTGTTGAGGAAGATGTGCATCCAAGTATATGAGGCATTGTACCACCAGACAGACAGTACCAGGAAATAATCCTCATGCGTTATTTTAGTTAAAACACTAAACACAAGAAAAGCAAGTCTACTAAAAGCTATAAAGGAGAAATACAAAGTCACATATAAAGGTAAACACCAGATAAACAGAAGCTAGTGAACAAAATCTTAAAAAACCAAGAGAGCTCAGAATGTTGTATTTCAAGCTCACAGAGACTATCAACTAGAGTTTCTACATCTACCACAGCCATTGGTTATAGACGAAAGGAAATAAAAACTTTCCACAAATGGATGAACTAAAGGATTTGTGACCACCATGCCAGCTTGACAAAAGATACTTGAGGACTCTCAGTATGAAGGAAATAAAACCTCCATGTGGCTGACAGCATAAACCACATGAGAAAGCAGCAGGCAAGCAAAAGAAGAATTGGGAAATAACACAAAGTCAGCAAAATGACAGGACTTCATAAGTCTCTCAATAATAACTCTGAATATAATTTATCAACAAAAATGCATCATCAGATTGTTTAAAAAAACGGTCTGCCTACTTTTGGCCTCCAAGAAATGTACCTCATCATCAAACACAAACCCAACTTCAGGGATACAATTTTGTTAAAAGACAAAGAGGTATCCTAAGCAAATGCAGCTACAATATTCAGACAATTTTTCTTCGAGAATCTGGCAACATAGACTTCAAACCAAAACTAGTCATAAGACATAAGAGTATATTTATACTGAATCAGGAAACAGTACATCCAGAAGATATTCCAATTTAAAGCACATATACACAGAACACCAGTGTGCTCTGTTACATATAACAAGCATTCCAGATATAATCACATATTAACTCTGTCCTAGTCAGAATTACTATTGCTCCGATGAAATACCATGTCTCAAGCAACTTGGGGAGAAAAGAATTTATTTGACTTACACTTCCACGTCACAGTTCATCATTAAATGAAGTCATGACAGGAATTCAAAATGACAGGAACCTGAGGCAGGAGCTGATACAGAAACCATGGAGGAGTTGGGTCCACAAGGTTTGCTCTGTCTGCTTCCTTATACAACCCAGGATTACCATTTCAGGGGTATCCTACACAATGAGCTAGGCCCTCTCACATCAGTTACTAATTACTAAGAAAATGCCCTACAGGTTTGCCTACAGTACAATCTTAATGGAGACATTTTCTCAATTGATGTTCCCTCCTCTCCTACCACTCTAGCTTGTGTCAAGTTTACATAAAACTAGTCAACCAAAACCCTAACACAATCATAGTAGGTGACTTGAAGGGTCCACTCATACTGAGAGTGAAGTCATCTCAATGAAAAACACAGCAGTTGATCCAAACATTGTCCTAGAAAGATCCCATGTATTAATCAATTGATCAATGATGAAATTATGGTATATATTAAAAAATAGAATTTCATTCAGCTATAAAGTGAAACTATAAGAAATTTAGAGAAAGCCTATTGAACGTCCTCTAAAATAGAATGTATGACAGAACACAGAATGATTCTTTAAATTAATTTACTCTATAAATTACAATACAGTGGAATTAAACTAGAAATCAACAGTAGAAAAATTATAGAACAAACACAAACACTCAAAGATTAAATGTCAAGATGTTGATTGATAACTGGATCATAAAAGAAATCAAGAGAAAACATTTTAAATTCTTAAAATTAAAAGTAATGAAAATATACTGAAATCTATGAGATAAAATGCAGTTCTAATATAAAAGTTTGTAGCTCTACGTGCCTGATGTGGGAATTCATTCCACCAACGACTTTAGGGCCAGCTCCTTCAATCTCCATCTCTGTGAGTAATTATAAATATATATGTATATATACATATATGTATGTGTGTGTATATATATACATACACACACATATCTTTGTGGTTCTTGCAACAAGTGCCTATGTTAAACATCAGGGAAATCGTAAATGAATAACTCAGTGATGCACCTTGGGACCAGGAAAAACAAAAGCAAGCTAAACCACAATCAGTAGGTAGAACAAAATAAGATCAGAACAGAAATTAGTGAAGCGAGGGGAAAAGATTGCAAAGAATTGGTGAAACAAATACTGGCTTATTTGAAAAAGAAAGAAAAATCACTATTTATAGCCAGATTTACCAAAAAAAAAGAAAGAAGACCAAATTAACAAAAATTACATATGAAAAGGGAGCTATTATAAAAGATACCAATGAAATTCAGAAATTCATAAAGAAATAATTTTTAAAATATATTCCCTTAAATTGGAAGTTATAAAAGAAATAATTTTCTAAAATCATGGTTTACCAAATTTAGACTAAGATGAGACAAACAGATATGTATTATATAAAATAAGATGAAAGCAGTAATTTAAAAAAATCTCCTAACTAAAGTAAGTTTAGTTCAAAATGGATTCACTGCTGAATTATACCAAATCTTTAAAATAACAGCAGCAATGTTCCTCAAACAATTTCATAAAATAAAATGGAAGGGATGCTAAAAAATCTTTTTTATAAAGCAGGTATCATCATGATACAAAAACAGGAGAAAATATGGATGGAAAGAAAACTATATGCCATATGCCCTGTGGTTACAAGTATAAGGCTTTTCAATAAAATACTTGCAACTTAAATTTAAAAGCACATCCAAAAGATCCTTCATCATGACCAAATCTTTCCCATTTCCAAAACTAGGAATATTTCAAAACACTCAAATCAACAAACACAGTATGCTACAAAATTGAACTAAAGATAGAAACCACAAGATTATTTCAACAGGCATAGAAAGGCTTTTGACAAAATGTCACAATCCTTCATGATAAAAGCTCTGAAGAAACTAGAAAAATAAAAATACCTTCACATAATAAACATTATAGACAAAAGATCAATAACTAACATAATACTAAATAGTGGATAATTCTGCTAAATTCAGTATCAAAATAATAGGGGTAATGTCTTCATTCATACTTAATACACTGCTTGAAGTTTGACCTATAACAATAAGACAAGATAAAGAAACAAAATTATGTAACTAGCAATTAAGAAAGTCAAAGCATCTTTATTTGCTAATGACATGGCTATGGTACTGTATTTATGAGACCTTAGAAAGCCTCCACTAGAAAAATTAGATCTAATAAACATGGCCAACAAAGTAGCAGGATACAAAACTAAAATAAAAACCTTAGCTTTCCTATACAAAGTGACAAACATTTTGAGAAAATTTCAGAAAAGCAATCCTACTCACAATTTCTTCAACTACCCGGTTTTCAACAAAGATGCAAAAAAAAGTGTTTACTAAAGAAAAGACAAATCAACAAATAGTGCTGAGAAAACTGAATTACTACATGTAGAAGATAAAAACGAGATCCATATTTCATACATAAAAATCAACTTCAAATAGATCAAGAGCCTGAACATGAGACCTGAAGCTTTAATTCTACTTGAGAAAAAGTGCGCCTTTTAAGATAAAGGCAGAGTAAGGACTTTCTAATACAATCAAGGTTGCTCAAGAAAGGAGGCCGGTAATTGGCAAATGGGAGATTAGGAAACTTTAGGGTTTATGCAAAGCAAAGGAAAATAGTAACTGAGAAAAAGAAAATAGGAGACAGTCTATCTCAACTATAGATCTGACAGTGGGTTAATATATAGAACATGCAAAGAACTGAAGAAACTAAACATTAAGAAAACAATCCAATCAGAAAAATGGACTTTGGAACTAGAGTGGGGGAGTAATGGAGGGAAGGGAAGTTCTAATAAATGTCTTTGAAGTGTTCAATGCAGGAAGATGGAAGTAAAGTAAAGGGTAGCAGAATACAAAAGATAGAAAAGAAATAGGAAAAGGGAGGCTCTTTAAAGAAAGGGGGAGTAAATACAGAAGAGAGGATAAAATGACAATGAAGATGTTTGAGAGAAACAGACATAGAATCATACTATTAACTATTTTCCAAAAAGTAAAATACACTTGATTTTATGTATTAACATGTATATATTAACATATTTATACAGTAATATAATATATAATTATTTATTTTATGTTATATGATAATATGTAATAATATTATTTCATGATAATATATTAATATAGCTGTATATTAATAAATATATATAAACCTATATCCTTAATGAAATTTTATCATCTGACCTGAAACTGACTTTAATATTCTATCCCTGAGATCAGGTTTCATGCTACCTGGAGGAACTCTGCAAGCATCCAAAGGAAGGAGGGATCAACAGTCCTATGCAGCTATGATGCCTATGAATCATATCAATGACCAGCACACCACAATAACCTTACAGATGCAGTCATAGAACCTGTTCCTTGTTGGTACCTTGTTGCTCAATAATTGGACTTGAGACCCACTCAACAAGAGGAAAACCACTCAGTGCAAGTGAAGTCCTGGTTATTGGAGGAGAATTTACAAAATTAGCATAATTCCTAATAACAATCTCTTGTTATTATCTCTTTGTCCTTATACCTACAGGTAAGTGTCATCTTCACCTCTCATCAGGGAAACTTCTCCTTGTAACAGATGGAGACTCCTACAGAACACCACAACCAACCAAAATGCAGAGTTGTGGGGCCGAGTCCCAATTGACACATCTACAATAAAACTTCCACCCTAAGGCTCAGGGAACATTATGGAAAAGGGGATGGAAAGACTGTACGAGCCAGAGGATCAGGGAGTTGGCTGCAAGATTGTGCTTCCTGGAATATCAGAAGCTACAGCCATAAACTATCGCCCACATGACTGCCTAACCAGGAGCTGAACAAGGATGAAGCCAAATTAAAATGCCAAACCGGATGGAGAAAAGACCACAAGGCCTCAAGCCTACACAAAGAAGGCAACTGAGAAAATCTGAGAAGGGAGAGGTGGCCGTCCCCAGGGAAGAACACACAAATTGGTTGTCTAGTGCCAAATGGTCAGCCATAAAAACATTTACAGGTATCATTAAATAGACTGAAGAGATTATTTTTGGGAATAGATGTGTATATATACATACATGTGCATGCAACCAACACTGAGTGATAAAAGAGGTCATAAGTCTGAAGAGTAAGGAAGGGTATTGAGGAAAACTTAGAGGAAGGAATAGGAAGGGAGAAATGTTATTAAATTATAATCTCCAGGGTGCTGTCAACATCTTTAGTCATCAAGGTAAGGCAAATTAAAGTTATTTTGTGATTCCACCTAACCCTAATCAAAATGGCTATTATTAAAAAAAAAATGACAGCAAATGCTGGAAGGATGTTGGAAAATGGGAATTCTTAATTCACTGTTGGTGGGAGTGTAAACTGATATGACTACTATGGAAATCTGTGTGGAAGTTTCTCAAAAAGTTAAAAATAGATCTGCCATATGGCCCGGCTATATCACTCCTGAGCGCTTGTACGTACGTGTTCATTGTTACTTTCTTCACAGTAGACAAGAATTGCAAAAACCTATATGTCAATTAACTGATGAGACAGGCAATTGTAGCACACATCATTAAGCCTACCACTGGGGAGGAAAAGACAGGCGGGATCTCTGTGACTTCAGGGCCAGCCTCATCTACAGAGGGAGTTCCAGGACACAGAACTACCAAAACCCTGTCTCGAAACACAAACAAATAAACAAAAAAACCAAAAATATCAATTAACTGATGAACAACAAAATGGTGCTACATATACGCAATAGAATTTCATTCACGTATAATAAAATTTAAATTGCAAAATTTTCAGGAAAATGAATGGAACTGGGATAAAGAAACAGAGAGAGGCGACCCAGGCACAGCTAGACAAAGGCTGCATATTCTCGCTCATAAGGAAACCCGAACTCCAATAACTAGAATATTTATTTGGAATGCTTATAAAGGAGAGGAAGCTAGAAAAGGGCAATTGTGGGAGGAGTGTTAAATGAGAAGGGATAGTAGAACAATGAAATTTGAAAGTAAAGGAGTTAGTGCTAGAAGTGAAGCGGTTGAAGTAGAAATGGAACTTGGGAGATACAGAAAAGGAGAGCTGGGTGGGGGAAAGGTTAATCAAAACTAACAATGTATGAAAACAATGCTATTTTATGTCTAATAAGCCCTTGTCTGAAGAGTGGATAAGGAAGCTATGGTACATTTACACAATGGATTATTACTCAGCTTTTTTAAAAAATTACATCATAAAATTTGTAGGCAAATAGATGCAATTAGAGAAAAAATTATCCTGAGTGAGGTAACCTAGACTCAGAAAGACAAATATGCTGTCCACTCACTTATAAGTGGATATCAGCTATTAAATAAATGATAATCAGGCTACAATCCTCAGACCCAAAGAACTTAAGTAAAGAGGAGACCTCTAGGGGGTATATATGGGCTTCTCTGGGAAGGGGAATAAACTTGTGGACAGACTGGGTGTGTATGTGTAGAAAGGGGAGAGAGAATGACCAGGCATTGGGAAAGAATGAAAGGAGAGAGTGCAGGGAGAGATGGCTGGAATTGGGGAGCATTTATGAGGGACAGGGGAAGTAGCATACTATAGTGGAAACTTCCTGGGCTCTATGAGCGTGATCCTAGTAATGGAGGACACAGAGTTTGAACTGGTCGTCTTTGGTATGCAGGCAAGGCTTGCATTCAGTTGAGTTGTTAGTCAAGGAGATCCCTAAATGGCCCAGGCTGATGCTAGGACAGAAGGTTACTCTCTGAAAACGGACAGCAGAGCTCTATTGCTGTTGACAATATCTAATGTGAAATTCCCTTCTGTATTATGTGAATATGTTTTATTATCATTGGTTAAGAAAGAAGCTTTGGTCTGTGGCAAGGCAGGATAGAGCTAGGCAGGAATACTAAACTGAATCCTGGGAGAAAGAAATCAGAGTCAGTGAGACGCCATGTAGCTGCCACAGCCGGAAGTAATCTTACCGGTAGGCTACAACCATATGACAATACACAGATTAATAGAAATGGGTTAACTTAAGATGTAAGAAATAGCTAGAAATATGCATAAATTACTAGGTCAAGCAGTGTTTTAATTAATACAGTTTCTGTGTGGTTATTTCGGGTCTGGATGGCCAGAAACTAATGACATTAAGGTAAGAGGTGGTTGTTGTTGAGAAGTGCACAACTATCTGGCTGAGTCTGGTGACCTAACTGGGAGCAACTGGAGATCAAGAAGGACAAACACAAACAGACATGAATCTGGGATTGGGTTACATGACTTGTATGCTTGGATGGAATGCATACCTGATGGATTTATTCCATCCAGGGAAAACAGAGAGTGGCCAGCTAATCTCAGTATGGGATCTCAGCAAAGGGAAAGTGATCTGGCAGTATTCTGTTAGCAAGGAAACTACCCTCTGAGAATGCTGCATGTATCCTTCTCATGTTAAAGGTTAGCTGTTATACAAGCATCTTCCTCCAACAAACATCTCAAGTCTCAGGCATGGAGAAGGCCATGCCATTTCCTTAGCCCTGAGACCTTTGCTCAGAACAAGAATGCACAGTCACACAGGAGTAAATACAGTCCCTACAAAGAAGAGGGGTTTCAATAAGAGAGAGGAGGAATGAAAGGGTGTATGTAATAAGGGGTGAAAATGTCCAAAATTCAATATGCATATTGTTTTAAATGTCAAAGACTTTTTAAAACACCTTGGAATAAACCTAAGGAAGTGAAGAAGTATACAAGAAAAACTTCAAAATACTGAAGGAGAAACTGAAGAGGACACTGGAAGGTAGAAAAGCATCTCATGCTCATAGATAGGAGAATTAGTACTGTGAACATGGCTAGTCTACCAAAAGCAATGCAAGTTCAGTGCAATTCGATCAAAATACAATACCCTTCTTTACAGAAATATAGAATAATCTTAGAATTCAGTTGCTGAGAGTTAGAGAATCAGTCTTCCCCAGAGATGAGCAAACCAATTGGTTATCCAATACCACATGGTCAGTCCTGAAAACATATATAAGTGACTAAAATCTTATGGGCTTAGAGTAAAATATATAAATGTCGTATTTATATATTTAGGAATATATTTAGAAAAAACATGCATGTACATATACAGCAGCAATTAAAAAAAAGAGGTCATGAATTTTAAAGAGAGCAAAATGGGGACTATAGCAAGGATTGGATAGAGGAGAAAAAAGGGGATATGATGGAACTCTATTACTATTTTAAAAAAACAATTTAAATTTGTAAGGAAGGACAAAAAACTTGAGATAGGCAAAGCAGTCATGAATAAAGACAGTTCTGGGAGTGTAAACATACCTGTTGTAGGTCAGGTCATACTATAGAGCCACAATAATGACGACATGGAACCAGAGTGAAAAAAGACAAATAGGTAAACAGAAAAGAAGTCCCAATCAGAAACCCACACACCTACAGCCACTTGATTTTTGAAAAAAAGGTGTCAAGAATATACTGTGATGATTAGCATTGATTATCCACGTGACAGGCTCTAGAATCACCTAGGAGACGGCTTCTGGGTGTGTCCATCAATGATCATCTAGATCAGTTAACTAAGTCAGGAAGACCCACCCTGAAAGTAAGCAGCACCATTACCTGGCGTGGGGTAGTAGCATGTATGAAAGCAAAAACAACCAAAACACGGCATTTCTACCCTTGTGTTTGACCAACTCTGGAGGTGAGGTGAACAGCTGTCTCTGCAGCCACCATGATGGATTATACCCTGGAACTGCGAACCAAAGTCCTTGTTTCCTTAAATTGCCTTTGTAGGTATCTTGCTACCACAACAAGACAAATAACTAGTTCAAATACGCTGGAGAAAAGTTAATCTCTTAAGATGCACTAAATGACTCAGAAAAGGCTGTATCCACATGTAGAAGAATAGATCTAATTTTCCAGATTCACCCAGCAAAGAATCAACTCCAAATGTACCTGAGACCTGAAATTCTAAAATCTATTGAAGGGAAAGCACTTCAAAATACAGGCATAGGCAGGGACTTTCAAAAAAGAAATCCAGTTGTTTAAGACGTAATGCCAACAATAAAAAAAAAATCAGACCTCATGAAATCATAAAACTTTTGCATGGTAAAGGAAAGAATGGCATGATGAGAGCCTGATGCATGGGTTAAAATCATAATAGCTATCTGACATCTGGCAGGAAGCTAATACATAGAACATACAAAAAATGAAAAAGAGAGAGAGAAACAAGAAATCAAACAAGCCAATAAAATGAGCTAATGAAATAAGCAAACCATTCCCAAAAGATGAAATATGAATGACCATCAGAGCAGAGCACTACAACTTAAAAATACATTGAGATTCAATTTCACCCCGGTCAGAATGAAAGGAATTGGGAAAATAAATGCCAACAAGTGCTAGTAAGCCGACAACGCACCTTACACACTCTTCCACACTCTTAGTGAGAATGCAGCTATTACAGAAATCAATACTGATGCCCCTCAAAAGCCTAAATAAGATCTACCACATGACCAAGCTACACCATTTCTGGACATCTGCCCAAGCCAGTATAGCTCAGATATCCTGGCACGTCAATGTTTATAGCACCAATCACAAAAGCAAACCATGGGACCAACCTAGGTATTGGATAACAGAGGAGTGGTTAGGAATTTATGGTGTGTTGGCACAAGGGAATTTTTCACCTCTAAAGAAGAATGAAGTTGTTGTTTGGAGTAAATTGGTGCAGTTGGAGATGATAGCATTAAGAAAATTAGCCAGTTGGTAGCGGTGCACACCTTTAATGCCAGCACTCGGGAGGCAGAAGCAGATGGAGCTCTAAATTTAAGGTCAGCCTGGTCTACAGAGCTAGTTCTGGGACAACCAAGGCTAGACAGAGGAACCCTATCTCAAAAACCCACCCTCCCCCTCAAAAAAAGAGAGAAAGAAAATTAAGTCAGTCTCAGAAACACAAATTTCATATCTCCTCTCATTTGTGGTTTGTATATTTTCTGTGGCTTCATAAGTATGTATATATGACAGCAGAGCAGCAGGAAAGGAACTGTCAGGAAGGAGTGGAGAAAGGGGAGGGGAGAGGAGGATGGGATGGAA